GTTTTGCTGTTGAGAGACCATTAAAACTGAACAGTGATCCCTCTACATAAACCTACATACCTGCATAAACAATCAAAACCATCAGCAAGAAGATTGGTTATTTCATTATAGTTATTATAGTTATTCCTAATGACTGCCACCAGATCAGTCTTGAAATCAATGAAACAATGAAGAGTGTTTATACAGAGGTCATATCAAATATATATAGCAAAAGATATCATGCATGTTTCATAAAAAGTGCAGCTACAGTACAGAACTATGATTTGTTTGCAGTATTTATTCAAATGACAATGTACTCTACTCACAAACATATATCAAAAGCTCTTTTGTACACTGCAGTTTTAAATGTGCATTAAATGCCATTGCCATGCACTTTACAATATCACACTGAGGTGTTCAGGGCCCTTTTAAACACCCTCTCTGCATCCTCAGCAAGCATGTTGAGAAACATGTTGAGAGCTCTGTAAGAGAGGCCCATTGCTGCTGGGATTTCTAATATTGGAATGAATCTGGACCCTTCCTCTGCTGCCATTAATGCAGCTGTGCTTGCACATTGAGAAAGAAGCTTCACGATAAGATCAAGCGTTATTTCAGTTGTAGCCAGTGGTGAAACAATGACAACCATCAGATCCTTCAATGGCACACCTGTGCTACGAGACAGTCTCTGCAGTGACAGGACATCAAGACCAAACCCAACTACGTATTGTGTGACAACTCCAACCCGGAAAACCTACATCAACAGCAACAGAAAGCCCAGGGAACTGGTACAGCTGCTACAGCTGCAGATAAAGTAGCAAAGAGCTTTATTTTGGCCTGGAAAGAATTTTTCTTCTTGTTGATGATCTCCAGGTGGATGTTGGGCATGGCCAACAACAGAGCATTCCTCTTGTGTGCAGGAAGTTCTCTCTCTAGGATCTCATGTAGTAGATAGAAATCATACAGGTGGAGCTCAAAGCTGGACACCAGGAAGACTTCTGGAGAGTTCACTCCTTCATCTCGAAGACCTGTGTCACAATGAAAGACAATTATATGATGATAAGATCTATAAAATAAACTTAAATATAACATAATGTGCATATCTCATTTCTGTACTTTTGTTTGTGATGTCAAAAGTTTGTTAATCAACTATTTACTACAAATAAACACTTGGAACTAAACTACATGGAAATCCCTCAAAACAGATTGATAAACCAATTAAGAATATGTACGTGTTACATTATTTTTTATTACTAGTTTATTGTCCCCGAATCATACCGTGTACTGACGGGCTGCAGCCTGAAGTAGCGAGTTGAATAGCGGACTGGATGAGGGAGCATTGCTTATGCAAAGTATCAGTGGGTTCAGAGGGGCAGCGTTACAGTCTCCATTCCTGAATTCTTTTCATTCAATTCATTTCAGCCCATTCATTTAGAACAGTAAACAGACTGTTTCACTGGAACTACTTTGTAGGTGTCCTACATCAGACATTAGTGGACACCCAGCAGCCAATCAGAATCGAGTCCTAACCCAGACCATTGTATAAAGGAACATAAGGCTATCGCAGCACACCCTCAACGTGCACAGACTGTGAGGGCCCGTTTATCGCTGCTAGAAGAGTTAATGTATTCACTGTTTTATTATGTGCAGCATTTAACTTCACTATCTTGTTGATGCTGCTTATATTTATCCATGTGTTACAAGCTGCAAGTGTTTTTGCCCTCCTTGCCACAAAGAGACAACCGGTGGTATAATATGCTTGTGAGTACCTCCCACATTATAAATAGAGGGCTGGACTTGCCTTCCTTTGTCTCCAAACATTTCACCTGGATATACACAACCAGTAGGGGTGGTTCTCTCTTCTCTGTTGTCTATGCCTCTAAAGGCATTGACAAAGGCGGATTTACCAGAGCCTGTCTCTCCTGTGATGGCAATATTAAGTGGGATGTTATTCTCCTTCTCCAAATACTCATGGATCTTTGCAGCAGTTAAAGCTTGATCATTAGATTAAATTAAATAGTGATATTGTCTTTTGGGGAACAGTAGAAAATGTAATCCTAAATCTAACATCATTCACATGAAAATATAACAGATTGCAAATGCACTGTGGTAACACAGTGACACATCTAGCTTTTTTTAAATCATCAGCAGCAGCAGTAGCATGCACACACAACAGAAGGAGGGGGCTGGGCAAAAGAAAAGAGGAAACTTTTTTCTGCACAGCAGAGTTACAGTTTATTTAAGGTGAAAACAAGACCTTGAGCACTCATACACAAAACTTTTAATTTCAACATGATAATTTAGGTTTAGACTGATTTACACAAAGTACTGAGATATGCAGCTCTATTACCAGGATATATTTTATATACAGCACTTAAAAAATAGCAATGTATCACAAAGGTCATTCAAAAGCTCTTTCATTATACACAGATTCATATAAAAATAAGACCATATTCCTTCCTGTATTCAAAAGACAAAAAAGGCATGTTATAATGTTCATTTAGGCTATTTAGGCATGAAATCAATTAAACAAGGCCATGTAAACACTACCGCTTTTGTTAATAACACCTGTTTACATAGAAGCCATTGGATAGAGTGATCAACTGCAAAATATATGATATACTGTATGTTTTCTAAAATGACAATGTAATCTACTCACAAACATATATCAAAAGCTCTTTTGTACACTGCAGTTTTAAATGTGCCATTAAATGCCATTGCCATTCACTTTACAATATCATACTGAGGTGTTCAAACCCAGGGCCCTTTTAAACACCCTGTGTGCATCCTCAGCAAGCATGTTGAGAAACATGTTGAGAGCTCTGTAGGTTGTGACAAAAGAGAGGCCCATTGCTGCTGGGATTCCAATAATTGGAATGAATCTGGACCCTTCCTCTGCTACCATTAATGCAGCTGTGCTTGCACAATGAGCAAGCAGCTTCAGGATAAGACTGGGCGTTATTTTTGTTACAGCCAGTGGTGAAATGATGATGGCAATCAGATCATTCAATGGCACACCTGTGCTACGAGCGAGTCTCTGCAGTGATGGGATATCAAGACCAAACCCAACTACGTATGTTGTGACAACTCCAACCAGCAAAGCTACATCAACAGCAACAGAAAGCCCAGGAACTGGTACAGCTGCTACAGCTGCAGATAAAGTAGCAAAGTATTTTATTTTGGCCTGGAAAGCCTTTTTCTTCTTGTTGATGATCTCCAGGTTGATGTTGGGCATGGCCAACAGCAGAGCATTCCTCTGGTGTGCAGGAAGTTCTCTCTCTAGGGTCTCATGTAGCAGATAGAAATCATACAGGTGGAGCTCAAAGCTGGACACCAGGAAGACGTGAGGAGATCCAACACTTTTTTTAAGACCTGTGTCACAGATGAATGAATGATATGATAATAAGATGTATAAAATGTATAGCATAATGGACATATCATGGTGTGATCTCAACAGTTTGCGAATCAACCATTTAATACAAATAAATGCATATAATAAATACGCTGGTGGTGTCTTATATTTTGAAATATCTTAAAATAACTATAACTAAGAGAATGATGCCTTTATAAGAAGCCATTTGTCAGTCGGTGTATAAAGGGGGTAAGAAAAAAGACTTCTTAGATATGCACCTTCTCTTCGAGTTTGGATTGAGTTATAATATTGAAATAAATTATGTTTTAAAGGTCCAGTGTGTAACATTTGCAGGGAGCCGGTTCTCTTCTGCAGAGTTGGCCATGTTGAACCGCCATGTTTCTACAGAGGCACAGAACTAAAGTTACAAGTTTCACAGCCATCGAACTTTCTCCTACATTCTTGGAAGAAGATGGTGAGACGAGTTAGTTTCAACCTGCAATGTCACTGTTAATTTGCTACTAAATCCTACACACTGGTCCTTTAAGGTCAACAGGGTAGTGTTTCGATTACTGATCTGCGGAGCTTCAATAAGTTTTGCTGTGTGGATCGTCAAGGTCTCCTGAAATCTTCTTTGAATACGAGTGATTCATCTTTTTCGTTTTCCATCACACCTCAAGTATTCATAAATCTTCACATATATTTTATACTTAAAATAGAACCTGAACAGTAGCTTTTATTATTTAATCAGTCCACTGCTCAGAGTGCTTATTCATTCTTTGCAGCATTAAGGACACAGTGCACATAATACTTTAAACTAATATGGTCAGGGGGTACATATAGAACTATTTTTCCCATCATAGAAATTTACAGACACTCACCAGTGTGTACGCTGTATTTGTCAGGAGAGGCATCATATATATGGGCTCAACACAATCTTAATTCATTCAGAAAGTGTTGTTACAGTAACTATTACTGGCTCGGTTGGTGGTATTGCATCTATATGGTGTTGAAGCTACCCTTAATATCAGTCTGTCCTATAAGTCTAAATGATGACTGCAAGGCATAACAGCATCCCATCAGTCTAGATTTTCTGTGAAAGACAATTTGATCCAGTAAACTGCTGTTAAACATTTTAAAACAGAGACTGGGATCTCTGTTAAAGAAATCTGGACTGTCCAACAACCTTATAAAAGAAAACAGAGTGCATTTGACTCAGACATACATAATTATTATTTACTAAAACAGACACATAGTTCTTTACTATCTTGTTTTTGTGATTTGTTTTAAATGATAAAAATTAATTTAAAATCAATTTAAATCACTATACTTATTATGATTACATAAATCACTTACTTTGAATGCAGTTTTCCCTGATTCGTTGAAGAGACCTTTCTGCATTGAAATCCCTCTGACTTCTTTTCTCATCTTGTATGTTATGGTCAATCTTTGAGCGAACAAAGTAGAACTTTTTCTCCATCTTCTGAATCTCCTGAGCGAGTTTCACATCATTCTCTCTGAAGCGAGTATCTGAGATGATGATGAAGAAGTCGAACTTCTCAAATCCAACAAGCTTCAGGTACTTGTCAGCTGGAAACTTAGTGGTACCAACTCCAGGAAGATCCCACAGAGTAACATTGGGGTAGTTTGGATGGGGGTATGGTGTGACATCCATTGTGGTTTCTACACAACCAGTAGGGGCAGCTCCCTCATCTCTGTTGTCTATGCCTCTAAAGGCATTGATAAAGGTGGATTTACCAGAGCCTGACTCTCCTGTGATGGCAATATTCAGTGGGATGTTATTCTCCTTCTCCAAAAGCTCCTGGATCTTTGCAGCAGCTAAGGCTTGATTGTTGTTTTGTAGAGCTTCTTTAATTTCTTCAGTTAATTCAGAATCCAGTGGATAATCCATGGTGAACTAGAAGCAACAATAAAGTAAATAGTGATATTGTGTTTTGGGGAATAGTAGAAAATTTACTCCTATATCTAACATCATTCACATTAAAATATAACAGATTGCAAATGCACTGTGGTTACACAGTGGCACATCTAGCTTTTTTAAAAATCAGCAGCAGCAGCAGTAGCATGCACACACAACAGAAGGAGGGGGCTCGGTAAAAGAAAAAAGAAAACTTTTTTCTGCACAGCCGAGTTACGGTTTATTTAAGGTCAAACCAGACCTTGAGCACTCATACACACCATGGATCATAAGGCATCACAAATCTAACATAAACTAAACTACTAAATCTTTTAGAAATGAAATTTCTAAATTAATTTAGAAATGACTAAATGTTTTTCCCCTCTTCCTTCAAAATATCATAGTATTATGCTTAACATTAGATCAGTTCGGCATACTTATTATGTAGAATTTCATTAGCACTATAAAATCAGAGCTCTTCCACAGAGGAAGGAGACATCTATTATCATAGACAGTAATATTACAAGTTTAGTGGATCCCCTATATCTTAAAGGACAATTCCGGCGCAAAATGAACCTGGGGTTAATAACACATGTGTACCGAGTTGGTCCGTTCTCTGGGATATGTTTTAGACAAAGAGAAGCAGCTTCTTCTTATGTTTCATTGAAATAAAAAGTAGACTTTGCTGAAATTAGAGGCTACTCACCCTGAAGTCTGAATGTAGAAACAGATGAGAGAAGAGCAGACCACCCAATGAGTCACTGTGAGTTGCTCAGTTTCTTTACTTCTGTAAAAACAATAGAAGAGCTCATCAGAGCCCAGCCCTTTAGAGACTGAACAATGAAAATGTCCTGGGAGTGACAGACACCCATTGGCTATTAGTAAAGCAGGTGACTTACAAGAAACGTTCTGATTTACAAGAAGCCTGGAGGGTTAAAGTCAGTAAGTGAAAGATATTTTAGCAGTGTCCTCTGCCTTACAGCTTTTTGAGATTCATTTGGAATTTCTGTTTTTTGGTAATTAGTGTAAGTCATTCCATCCTAATAAATAACATAATCTCATATGTATTGCTCACCCATGGCTGCTATTGCAAATGTTACCTCTCTTACAGTTTAGATCATATTTCTTCTTTCATGCTGTTTTTCAGTTAGTATAAGAACTTGTGTTGGTTCAGACACTTAATATTTTGAGCCTGTTTGTCCACTTTTTGAAACATTGGATTTGATATTTAATCTGACAGAAGACTTGACCTGATGTTCTTTAATGGTTCTAATTAATAATGATGGTTCTTTAATCAATACTAAAATAATAATTTCTTCTACAGAACAGTTGGACTAAATCCAATCTGAGAAGAGATTTGCTGATATGTTTTCACAATGCAGCAGAAAAAACATTTCATCTGAATGAATAAGGCCAAAGTACTGAAAACTCACTGTTCAGACTACACCTTGTCTCATAAAATGTCATATAACATAAATCAACAAAAAGCCCTTTTAAAAATGGGTTTCAAAGTCATTACAAAAATCAGATTACCCATCAAGGTCCCCCTGCGCACCCCTTCATTCATAGTCTGAGAAAGAAATCATTTGTCGCCCTGTGGGGAGTTCAGAAGGTGTTTTAACTATGATAATGACACTCCTGTGTGGCTTAGTTCTCATACAATCCCCGTCAGTTCCCGACCAGGTAAGTTATGTTTTTCAACTGCAAAATCCACTTTTTCACTCTTTTCTCTGCTCATTAACCACCACTCGTTTCTCCGATTTCTCCTCTGCTCTCTCCCTCAGGTCTCTGCTGCAGCGTCACTGAGGTGCTGCGTCTAGCATTACTAGTCCCTTAAAGGGTTAGCAACATGAATTTTCTGTCAGCATACTTTTAATCTTAAACATTCAATTATTGTTGTATTAACATTTTTAATTAACTCTGATGAATTTACTTACATTAAATGATTTTAATGAAATTTATGCAGCTTTTAAACTATTTATTCTTATTTATGTCATATTTTTTAACATGGGTTACAACAGCACCAAGCCCCATCAGCAGAGACAACCTCTGGAACTTCACTCTGTTCCGGACCTTCCATGGTCCACAGTGGCCACAGACATCTTCGAGTGGCATGGCAAGTACCACCAAGTGCTTGTGGATTCATATTCTGGAGGGTTCAAAATCGACCTTCTCCCTAACATTACGTCATCAGCTGTGATCTCCAAGCTGAAAAGACATTTCTAAGTCCATGGCACGCCGCACACCCTCTTCTCTGACAATGCTAGACAATACACCAGTCAGCATTAGAAGATTTAAAGACAATGGGATTTCATCCATGCCACTAGCAGCCCTGAATTTCCCCAGTCGAACGGGCTTGCAGAGAGAGCGGTCCGCAGTGCCAAGCAGTTGATGGAGAAATCTCACCGAGATGGAACCGATGTCTTCCTCAATCTTCTGAACCTCAGAAACATTCCCCGTGATACAACATTAGGCTCCCCGCTGAACGTCTGATGTCACGACAGACATGCGCAGCCATTCCCGTGAGCACCAAACTACTGGAACCAGCCCCAAAGAACGCCCAGCAAATCAACGCCCAACTCCTCAACAAAAGACTCACTCTGAAACGACACTATGACAAGTCGAGTCGCCCACTCCAACCTTTGGCAGAGGGACAAGTGGTGCGTATGCAGACCCCTAAAGCATATGACCAACTTGGGACTGTGAAGGAGATAAGCCAGGAGCCACGCTCTTACGTCATCCAGTCCAATGGAGGTACATACAGGAGAAATCGCCGCCACATCCTTCCTGTTGCAGAGCCACCACCACCACTGCTTCATGCAGATGACCCGGACACTCAGAACTCTAGTCCCTGCACGATGGACTGTACAACCCCCACACCAGAAACACCAAACGCCATGCACCCAAAACACACATCCCCACCCCGGCCAGTGCCCACAGCACACTTCCCCCAGTGAGAACAGAAACACACAATACATAACACGCACTTGCAG